ATAGCTCTCTCTCTTCTCCCCGCTTCCCCTGTTCTCCCTCTTTCTTTTTCCCTTTTTATTTTTTACTTTTCTCCTCATCTTTCTCTTATATGTCTTTTTTTTTTTTTAAACAAATAGAGCTAAGGAAGCAGGGTGGAGAAGTGGACTTTGTAAGAGACTGATGATTACACGAACTACTTAAATAAAGAAGAGACTGATGCCTCCTCAAACCTAAAAGTATCTTCTCCCTTCTTGAATGCATGGAGTTTGTCTGTGCAGTTTTCTGCTTTTAAAATATACCAAATAATTATGACCTATTTACAAGAGATTACTGCAATGCCAGGAAATCTCATTGTCATTTTTTTTTGTTAAAAAAATAACAATATTTTTGGTGTCTTCAAGGATGAGCCTTATTAGTTCTGGGACAATCTTACCAGATTATTAGGTCACTTATATTTCATTGGACTCTGGCTCAGGCATGAGCTGCCAGTCACATAGCCTTTTGGGTCTGTTGGCTTTGTTTGCAGAGGAGCTGCCCCATTAAACTCTGTGATTTGGAAGGGATTCTGAAAAGAGAAGTTCTGTTGTGTAGCTCTTGTCTCCTGGGTTCGTTTTCAAGAGACATACTGTGCATCTTGTGGGTATGCATAATCAGAGTCCAGAAATGAGTCAGGAGATCTTATTATAGATGAGTCACACAGGAATATGGGGCAAACTTTCGTCTCACATAGCCTGGTACCTACCTCTTCTTCCAGGGCAGAATAGCTTAGCTCAAAGATGTGTTGAAGGTCATTTGACACTATTCTGTGTTCTTTTGGGTCCTTGTTAGTGTTCTGTCCTTGGTTGGTTATTATCAGTGCAAAATCACCTGTCTAAAGTCAAATGTGGTGGTCCTCTTTGTGTATAGGCAGAGTTTACCTTACTTGTTTAGGTAAAAATTAGGTTTGGGGCTATGGGCCAAGCATGGAGCATAGATATTCCCTTTTATGTTTAGAACTATAGCAAGAAGTTAAAACAGGTGACTTACTTAAAGTTTTAAGGAAGTATTTTCATGCTTATCCTCAAAAACATCATAGCTAACAATTACTGAGCATTTGCACTGTATTAGCACTTGTACTGAGTTGGTCTTTATATGTATCACCCTATGTATCCCCCATAAGAACCTCAGGAAATTGCCTTGAGAAACTGCTGCAGTCGCTAGAGCTCTGGGTGAAGTGCTTTGCCTTTGTGCTTTGCTTAGACGCAGCTATATGACTGAAGCTCAGCACACTGTATCAATAACATTAGATTTACTTTGCCTTTGGTTCCTGAGTTTTATGTGATGCTCTGCATATGCCTTCAGCAGTGTTCAGACTGTATGGTGGAGCCTGTTGGCATCTCCCCAACTGAACTTTGAGATGAGTGTCCAATGCCACACAAACACAAGATAAAAATTTTGGAATAAAAATGGAGGCAAGTGGATAAGTTAATCATCTCTTTAATCCTGACAAAGTTTAAAGGTGACTTACATCATCCCTCCTCCCTTTTCTTCTATTTTTTGAATAGACTCAGACATTTATTCTTTCTAGACAACAGAAAGTCACATGAATATCAAGAGTCTTCACATTACTTCCAAATGTGACTGCACATTTGTTCCTTTCAGTGTAGATGTTATAAAAGTGTCCTTTTCATTCTCAGTATAACTCAAGTCTGAGTCAAGGCAGAGTCCTAGTCAAAAAGAACTCATTGCTTTAGCCTCAGACCTTCCCAGAAAGTTTCCCATGTAAAACAAATCTACAGAGAGCTAACAGCAGGGACCACTCACCCAAGAAAATCCTTTGTGAACGTTTCTGGTAAAACCAGTCTTGGAACCATGTGCCTAAATGCTTTTACCTGCTTTTTTGTAGCCAACAGATAAAGGTCAGATCTTTATTTGTACAAGACAGAGGCTCAAAATTGCTTCTCTTATTAGAGATGATGCTTTTCCCTTTATCGAACTTCTCATGTATTACTTGTTCCCTAGATTTACAGCTTTACTGATGAGTGTGGGAAGGGGGACAATTATACAGGCAATTATAGCATCAGTACCCAGTCATTTTCCTGGGTGACAATGACTTCTAAATCCTTCCATTTTCCTTATATACTGAGACACTTGAGTAATTTCCTCTATGACTTTTGCTGCTTTCCTCATTGTGTCAACCTCTGTACTTGAGAAAAATGCCAACAGCAAGTTTCCCAAAGTTCCATTTTTGTTTTAAATGAGGTTAAAAGGAACTTCCCTTTCTTCAGTTTTTAATGAGCCATTGATATTATGCACTTGTATATTAGATGATGAAAACCACATTTACTCATAAGAAAAACTGACAAAAAAAAGTGATTAAGGACCAGTTTTATGACCCTTGTGTTTCTTGGCCACTACAAGGTGTGGAGAATAGATGAAATGTGGAAATTGGAAACAGTCTTTCCAAAGACTTGTTTGGAGAGGTGTGTTGCTTGAGGAAGTAGTAGGTCATATGCCTGGTATCTTTAGAGAATGACTCCTGGTCCTTCCACTTCTTCATATCAAGTTTAATGAGGGGGTCCCCATGGAATCCCTCAGAAAGATCGCAATATGCTCCTTGTTATTCAGAGACCTGAAGAAGCTGAGAAAGCTACAACCACTGTAGAAGCAAGACTGTATTTTCTGCATTCAGATAGTCCTTCACTCTTACAGTTTATAGAGACAAGGGATGTGTGATAGTTTCTTTTGGGTGAAGTGGGACCACATGGAAGCAATGATCTTGCACTCTGTCAAAAAAAAAAAAAAAGACAGAGGGGCAGAGGATTTTCAAGAGAAGAAACTAGATTTAAACAGCAGACCTTAAGACATGTGCAAAAAGTTGCAAATGATCAATAAAGATAAATGATAACTCTAACTCATAAGAAAGAGCTGACAAATAGTTATCTTAGATTCTATGAAAAAAAAATCTTATGGGGCAGGGAATTTTTAAGAGCAAGAAACTAGATTTGAAGAGCAGACCCTAAGTGATATATAAAAAGTTGTAAATGATAAACAAAAATAAATGGTACTTTTAACTTGGGTGGAATTGGGAGAGTACCAAGATATCAACCTGAGGTTAAAAAAAAGTCTAAAAGTGTCAGGAATGTATTGCAGGAAAGATGATTATTGTTGGGAGAAATCCATATTTAGATGACACAGACTTATCAAAATATAAATTCCACAAAGGCAAGCAAAGTGATTATTTCAACTGATACAACATTTTCAGCACTTGGCATAGTGCCTGGAATCGAATAGTGGTTCAATAATTAATTGAACAAACGGGTGCTACTATTTGGGTGCACTGTCTTCATTTCTGAAATTTGCTTAGGTTTGTTAGCAGAGGGATTGTTAAACTAAAACAGCCTATTTTTGAATGCTTACACAATGTTAAGGCAAACAGTGTGTTCACATGTTCTTGAGGGAAACATTCGTTATATGAGAATAGACAGATCTTTCTAGCATTCACACTGCAAGCTTATGGAAAGGTGGTTCATATTAAGAGATCGTAAAACATATCTGAATTTATGAGATAAAACCTGGAAACTAATAACTTCCCGCATTGCTATAATCCCTATGTAATTAGATTGATGCTGAGTAGCAACACTTCCCAGGTTCTTCCTGCTTCTCCCTGTTTTGATCTAGTGCAGAATTCCCAGAGTCTCTCTCTTTTTTTTTTGTCTTTTGGCTGCCTCTTAGTTCATTCTGGGTGAATAGCATCAGAAGTTTGAAGTAAGCATTTTGATTGTCATTCTGATGCTGTCCTGGTTGCTATCTTTCTGATTTTTCTTGGCCTTTTGCTCTGTCATCTCTGGGCAAAGCCTGCTTTCTTGTCCATATGCACCCCAAATTTCTTCTGAGGCCCTTGCTTCTCTGGAAGGTAACTCCTATTGCCTTAGTCACTTTCTCGTCCATGACACAAAATGCTCAATGCCCAAAACTTAAAGAAGGAGAGGTTTATTTTGGCTCTTGTTTTCACCCATAGCCTGCTGTATCCAATGCAGGAAGGGCATGGCGGAAGGATCTGGCAGAGGAAAGCTGCTCACATCATGGCAGCCAGGAAGCAGAGAGAGAAAAGAGGAGCCAGGGAGGGAGACAGAACCTTCAGACCATTCCACTAGTAACCCACCTCTTCTTTCCAGATCCAGTCTCCTAATAGCAAGCTCAGTATAGCGCCCCCATGATCCAGTCACTTTCAAAAAGTGACACCTCTAAACACAGGAGTCTTTTCGGGGCCATTCCAGATCCAAACTATAACATCTATTTTTTGAGAATACACTGGGCACTATGAAAATAACTATGACTAATACATTCTATAATTATTTTGCCTGTGCTATAATTAGCAGGTCTCCTGCTGTGCTGAGTTGCAAGTGAAATGCAACGGAGAGGTAAGCAAATCAGGTTATGGTGGGCAAAGTCACATGAAGAGGTTTAAATTATACCCCGTGAGAAGAAAGGATCCGTAAGTGGATTTCAAACAGGGGATTCATGTGTGCAGTGTTCAGACTGTACCATGTTCTTGATGACATCAGGGCAGATGATGAAAGCCAAGACTTATACAGTACCTTTGGGATTTTTGAGACATAAAATCATATTTTTCTTCATGCAAAATGGCTTCCGTTTCTTATATATTTTTACTTTTCATTCCTATTCTTCTAGGTTTTCCCCCATCTCATTACTTACTGTCAAGTTCTCAACTATTGCTTACTTATCTCATTATAGCTGTTTCCCTGGAGCAACCTCAGACTTCTCTTTGATTGATTTGCAGTTGGAAAAACAAATAGAAGAATTCATGTTGCAGTTCTACACAGATTTTGAGTTGTTATTAAAATGATTACCAATAGCTCATAAGCGCTGCCCACTCATTAAGTGCTGTGGCTTTGTGATACCTTTCTAGTTACTTACCGCCTTCTTTCTCCGCATTTTATAATCTGACTTTTGTGGATAATAATAAACCAATAACCAAAAAAGCAGATCTAATAATAGAAAGTCCTTGGGACCATGATAAGCGCAGATAGCATAGTACAATATTTTTATTAGATAGAAACAAAGATGGGAAATTCAAAAAAGAACAACAGGTAAAAGCTGTAGTATCCACTTGCTTTGAGGAGATCTCTTAGGCATTGGCCATTCCATTTTCAAGAGCTTTGGTCAGTGTTAGACCTCAGGGCCACACTCGGGGCTTGATGATGACATAGCCTTTCAATTCATAGTTCAGAGCCTGCCAGTTCAGGATATTAGCATTTCTAAGGGACCCGTAATACACAGACGAGACCTCTTCTGGAGATAGCACAGAGTCCCACATGTACAAGTCCCCAATCTCTCCCACAAAGGACTGTCTCAGTTCAAACTTTCCTCCATAGGCATCCTGCTCCTGTCCCAGAATAATCTTGGGGTAAGGTGCCACAGAATACCCCTTCCTCAGACCTTTCTTCACCAAAGGCTTCCCGTTGACCCAAAACTCAACAATTCCAGAGGAGGACTCCCAGCTGGTACAGATGTGCACTGGAGTAGGGATCTCTTCAGTAACCTTGGCTGTGACGTGGCCCCCTCCGATATAAAGACTGTAAAGTCCAACTTTTTCCTTATAAATGAGCAGCTCATTATCCCTCCCCTGGGTGTTGTAGGAGAAGAGGCTGTACTGTCGAGAAAGGTCAGTGTAAGCTCGTAAACACACAGTAAGGTTCTGTAGAGGCTTCTCCAGCTTTGTAATCAGGTTCACGTGATCACTGGCAGATTCTCTAGGGAACACAAATACCATCTTATCGAGGTCTGTGGGGTAATATAAGACATGTAATGACTTTTACCTCAGAGAAAAAAACATCCCCGTTTCAACCTTTTTTCTCATATCAGGCTCCTTGACCATCCCTGAGCTCCCTACCTGTCTGAGCAAAGACCTCCAGGAAGATGGCAAAGACAGAGACCCAACAAAGCATCTTGTCCATGTTCTTGGGCTGCGGCTGTGACAGCAGTAGCACCAGTGACAGCGCGGTGTCGGAGGCAGCACAGTGGTTGTCCGCTCAGCTCTGAGATTCACACTCTAAGATCCCAGGCGCTCTAGGCCTTATCTGCCCTGGGGTTGAGGGTGGGGGATGGAGAGCAACAGTGACATGTGAATGATTTTCCAGACCCTCCTGCCAGTGCCAGTAATCAGAGCTGCTGATGAAAAAAGAATGATGAGGCCCCGGGCTGGGAAATCAATTACAGTTAATTATTAGACTCAAGTGACAGCCATGTCTGTGACCCATTTGTTGCTGGGAAAAGGGTGGTCATACAGTTGCAGGGTTATGGATGGGATGAGGAGCTGAGCTGGCTACAAGGGGGGCCTCACTCCACTCTCCAGGGCTTCTTCCTCTTGTAACCCTGTATTCTGCCAGGAGAGCTCCTGGGCCATGTGGAGGGCCTTCCTAGGCCCAGGTCTCTCATGCGTTGTGTAAACAAGGCTTTCCTCATCTAGGTATGTGACACAGTCTTCTGTTGCAGGATATGAAGGGGTCCTGTTTTCTGCCACACACCTCAAAAAGTCCTACATTTGATTATTCTAGGACATTGCTAAGGGAAAGAGACAAGTAGAGTACAAACTTTGACCCTGCTGAGGCTTTGCTTTTTTTTTTTTTTTTTTCTACCGCTACTCAGCTCTGTTTTTTGTTTTGAATATCATGGTGCTTTCGCAGGCTAGGTGTTCCATTTCTCATTATGGTTTTTTCTGGTGATATATTCACTACTTGCAAAGATGTTGGTATTTCCCCCAGTTTTCATCTCTTTTTTGAGTCACTCTTTGGGCCATTGAGGCTAGCTAGTCAGTCTTTCCTGATGACTCCATTAATGCATTACACTCGCATTTGCTTACGAATTTCCAGGCACCACACTAGGCACGGGGGATTCAGTGGTGAGTGACCCTTACAGAACCCCAGTGACTTTCATTTCAGTCTCTCTGCTGCCACTTAAAAAAATCACTCTTTATCAATCATCACTCAAACTCATTCTGCCTTTAAGATATCAAACTGAAGTCTCCCTTTCTGTTTAAGTAATCTTCCTTCTCTTTCACTCCTAGTTCTATGAAATCTTCCTTGTATCTACTTTCTTATTTGTTCTCTCTTTTCTCAGCCTACTCTAGGCCTTCTGATCAGCTTTTTCACTGACACAGTCACTGGCACGAACAATTTATTACTGTTCAAATTATCCTTCATATCTTTATCTCTGGGTAGTTTCCATTCCTAATACTCTTTTTCCTCTGAGCTGAGTCCCAGGATATGAAGCGTTATTTGACCTGTTGTCAAAGAAGGGTGAGTGTTGGCATTATAGTTATACAGTCTGTCATATTCTGAGTTAAATACACATCCTTCTGCTTAGAAGTCAGTGCTGTTTCCAATCTTGCTCCAACTTGGCTGTCATCTCTTAATCAAATCCTATTGTCTAGTCAGATACCTCTAATTGTTCTTCACTGATGTCTGACTTTCCTCATTTTGCTACTTCTAGTTATTATTTTCATTGTCTTGAAATTCTCTCTTATCTGCCTCTATTTGTTGAAATCTTAACCACTCTTCAAAATTAATCTTGTAAGTAATTTGCTTCATGAAGATTGTTCAGTCTTATTTTTTTGAGACAGGGTCTCACTGTGTAGTTCAGGCTGGTCCTGAACACACTATGTAGCCCCAAATAGCCTTGAACTTGTAGCACTCCTCCTACCTCAGCCTCCCTAGTGTTGCGGTTATAAGCATGCACTACCACGCCTGGCATGAAGATTTTTCTGATGTTCCCACTGGGACATTATTTTTACCTCCTTTAGACTCCTTGTAAAGTCTTATCCAAAGATAATAGAATCCCAGTATTGCTGTTTGCCAGTGTTTTTTTTTTTTTTTTCTCCGGTACCGGGAACCGAACTCACGACCTTGCGCTTGCCAGGCAGGCGCTTTTGCCGCTGAGCTAAATCCCCAGCCCCCGTGTTTGCCAGTGTTTGACTGTTGCACAAAACACTAAACCTCTCAGATCTTTAGATTCTTTCTCTGTAGAACAAAGATAAAATCACCTACTGTGTAGTGTTTGGGGAACGATAAATGAGATAGTATAATATGCATTAAGTACACAGAACATTGGATGGCTATTAGTATTATCTTTTCAAAACCTTTTATGGATATTATCATAATCTGCTTCATATTAAAGATTTTTGCACATTCGTTTCTTTTTTCCCCCTAGACTGAAGATGGCTATTAGGTCTTATTCATATTTAGGTTACTCATTTTATCTAACTATGTTTTCACGTGAAAGCAACCTGGTATATATTTGTGGAAGCAAAGGATTCAGGCAGGGTAAGGATTTTATACATGTGACAGTTTAGCAGCAATACAGAGTAGAATGGGTTATGCTTAAATATGAGCCGACCGGTATCCTTTATCACGAACCTGGGGGATGCACAGTTCCTGTCCCTAGATGTTAGTAAATGAATGCCATAAAATTCAGAGAACAACTCCGTCTAGATTTCAACAGGAATTAATAAATTACCATTCTGTCAATAAAAAGTATTTCTGAGGATCAATATAGATGCGAATCTTCTTAAATAGGACTATGAGGAGTGATTGAAAAATGCGGCAAATATTTACTTTAAAAATTATTTATTACAGCCAGGCATGGTGGTGCATGCCTGTAATCTCAGGACTTGGGAGGCTGAGGCAGGGGGATTACTAATGAGTTTGAGGCCAGCCTGGGCTACATAGTGAGTTCAAGGTCCACCTGCACTGCAAGGCAAGACCTTGTCTCAAAAAAACAACAAAAAAATTATCACAATAAAAGTCATATTGCCATTTGCCCCCTCAAAATACTCCGCATCATTTTAGTCACATACTTACCCCATAATCCTTGGCATTTCCTGGAGCAGTCTTAGAAGTCATTTTTCATGAATGTCTTTAGTTGTGTTGTGGCTGCCTAGATGTCCTAAATCAATTCTAAATGTGTACCTTGTATACTCATTTGCACCACGGAGGAAGAGCTAGAAGT